AGTTTTGGTTCTTCCACTTTAATTTCAGCTTAGTTAAGTAATCCTATCTATCTATTCTATTGATACATATTTGATTGTTTCCAATTTACTGAAATTATAAGCAATGGTATCAAGAACCTTTCTATATGCATCTCCTTAGGCATACATGTGAACATTTTCTATGACATATATCTAAGTAGCCCTAACCTCATTTTACATCTCATGTTACATCTTCACAGATAAGTGCCAGGGAGAGGGAGAGGCAGAGAGAACATCAATGTCTCATGTCCCTCATTTTCACTCTCCACCTCATCTAGAGGGGAGAGAATATGACTTATGTAATTGGGGAAAAGGGAAATATTCTCTTTTTTAAAAATTTGACTTTTAATTAAGATAGTTACTTTATTTTGAATTTCAGATGCCATTAAAAGAAGGTCTGAGATTTTTCTGTTTATAAGGAATAGTATTTGTTAAACACGCTTGGTATCCTGTTTACCCAATGAAGGTATTCTCTAATAGTGCAATATTTAGATTATGTGGCAGTCTATGGTCTAAGACATTTAGAATATTTAATATACCCTTGTGTGTTCCCTGATTCCTCAAAGAGATTCCTCAGATAGAGAAATTTCTTTCCTAATTGCTCAGATTCTAAGCCCCTTTTCTGGTAGCATTATCTCTTTAGGATTGAGGTTACAAAGTGATCACCCACAAGCCATATTAGCCAATGGGCATGTTTAATTTGGCTTGTTTGGTTTAAAATATTTTCAACTAGCACTTAATGAATAACAGATTTTATGTAAACATCTGGATTTTCATCTTAGCAATGACAGGCTAGCTGATAGGCCGTATGTTCTCCAGATGGCAGGAGTCCCTACTACTCCCTACCTGATTGTACCAGATCCTTTGTATTCAATTCATCACCTGCCCAGCCCCAATGGGCATCTGAGGTGATCATCTCTGCTCTCGGGCCTTTCAACATTCCTTCCCTATAATAAGCAGCTGAAGGAATTGCTAATACAAAGGCTCTGAGCCTACAAAACACAGACAAAAACTGTTGCTTTTCCTGGAAACTCATCTTTAGGCCAAGAAGACTTTTATAGGAGTCAACGGTTTCAGTTCTTAAGAAATGCATGTTTGATCAGGCCTGCAAATGCTAAATGGAAACTTTAATGAGTCAAGATTCTCATTGCTGATTCAGAGAAGCTCAGTGTAATTGGATCTCAGTACAGTCCTTTACCCTAGGCAAAGAACCTAGACTACCCTAGGTTCTTTGCCTAGGGTATGAGTATGCAGTAAGGATTCAATTTCAAGAATGGCTTTCAGACCAGTAGTGGGAGAAGAGGAGGGTGCAGAGGCCAATGTCATTCCTTTCCGTTACATTTTGTGTATTTCTATGTAAGAGCTGGACACAGACCCTGGAATTTGAAGTCTCTCTAGAGTTGTTTTCACAATTGGTACTTCTGGAATTGTGCTATATTCAGCAGAATGCTAAAATAAGTACCTCTGAATATTCTGTGTTACTCTTGGAAAGTTATTTAAAGTTTCTCTGATTTTCCTATGTCATTTTGAATGACGTGAATCCATGCATCATGCCATATGATTCCTAGATCACAAAAGGAAGGGAAGCTTTTGCTGAGAAAGTTCAAAGTATCCATTTTCCAACAGGACCCAGGCCCACCTGACCCCAGAGCTCCTCTTCCACATGGTTTATACTTTCTATTCAACCAGCCTGAATGACTTCAGCAGCGCCCCCTTCTGATCTCCACATTCATTCTTCTTCTTCCACAAATTCCAGCTCCAAGCCTCATGAAGAGATTTCTGTTCACCCAGATTGCTCTTGAATCATAGCCCTCAACAGTATATATCTTAATCATGGTTGTAAACATAAGTTGTTGACTGTATCCAGTCTACTGGATACTCTTTGTTGGCAAATTTTAACCATGCTAACTTTGTGAGCCCAGACCTCTTGTGCAGTATGGCCTAGGAGAGCTTAGGAATAAAGACTGAGCAAAAAATAGCATGCTTGCTTTGGGGCTGAAAATCAGACACCATCTTTGTTCTCCAAGAAATATATGGAGCAATGCAGGATAGCAAGATCAAGCCTTAGCGAAAATGCCACAGAACAGGGAGATTGTATATATGCTGAAACTATTCAGTTGCCTTTCATGAATTAATAGAAGAATGCTTGCAGTTGCCCCTCTGTACCCATGGGTGTTCATGTTGGTGAGTTCAACCAACTATGAATCGAAAATATATATTTTTTAAAATTGTGTTTATACTGAACATGTACAGACTTTTTTTCTTATCATTATTTACTAAACAGTATAACAACTATTTATATAGCGTTTACATTGCTTTAGGCATTATAAGTAATCTAGAAATGATTTAAAGTATATGGGGGATATACACAGGTTTATCTGCAAATATTATGCCATTTTATGAGAGAGACTTGCACATCTACTGATTTTGGTATCTTTGGGGTGTGGGGTCCGGGGAACCAATCCATTATGAATTCAGAGGGGTGGTTGTATCTTTTAATTCACACTAAGAGAGAAAAGGGGCTGAAAAAGAAAAGCAAACTCATTCTTACTCACAGCTTTGTTCACTTCCCTCTTTACTGTGGTGACGGATCTTTTTGTTGTGCCTGAGTTAATAAAAATCCCAGAAATAGAATGAGCGTTGGGGTAAACATCAGTCAGTACTTAGGAAGGCTGTTGTTCCTAGTGATCAGCTATGAAGGTCTTCGAAGAATGTGATAAGGAAAGTAAGGAGAAGGGAAACTGGCCACTTCCTTGTCTCCAATCTTTAGGTGGGGATCAAAGAGGGCAACCTTGGTTGTAAAGAAAAAGAATGTCCTCATTAAACATCTGAAAAAAAATGCATCTGTGTAGTGGGCATGCAACCTACCCTACACCATCCCCTTGCTGTGGTCTCTGATTTTGTCCCAACCTGCTACTGCTGAGGAACACCATGTGATTAATAAAACATCTAAACCCTCTCCATTGAGTCCTCCAAGTTCTTTCTTTGATATTAGTAAACATTATATTGGGCTTTCGCAGTCTTGGTGTTGAAAAATGAGAAAATTATTCTGTTTATAGATTAAACTATGGCAGAAGGAAAATAAATCCATATATAGAGTTCCAGATGTCCACTGTGGTTTGGGACCTCAGACTGGGTAATACATAATGTAAAATCTGGACTCTAGGCCAGGACTCTGAACAACAACAACAACAACAACAAAAGTTCAGTTTCTATTCCTTTGTTTGCCCTTGGATTCCCCCAGACACTTAGATGATGAGGGGCTGCAAATTTGGTATATAATCCAAGAAATGTCGGGTTCTAGAATATTCTCTCCCTTCCTTCTTTCTTAACTGCCACTTCCTGCCTTACTTCCCTGGCACAGAGCAGAATGTATGGTTGCTTAATTTGAAGTAAGATGTAAATGACTGATGATTTAAAGTGACTAATATAGCAAAAGCACAAGTTCGTTGCTCACCACTAAATCCCCTGCTTTCATTTCTTCCCCTGATTTTACATGTCGCTTCCATTCTGATTCCCTTCTAGGGCTTGATGCTCAACTCTTGCCCTTGCCTGGGTTCCTGAATTCCATCACTGTTTCTGCTTTTGCTCTGTTCACCAGGTTTTTAGTAATTCCATCATAACCATCCTGATCTTGCTCAGAATTTGAGGGACTCTACCCAGCATTGTAGCCTCCCCTAATGTTTGCATTTGAAAGGAATTCAGTGGTTACCCCAGAAGAATTGATTTTGAATGCTGACATTTTCATTGGAGGCCTCTTTAATGCCACAGGTCAGTGCCACTATTCTCTGTGGGTCCATGGCAACCATAAACCAGCAGCTGTGGCTTTTGGTATAGCTTCCTGTAAAGCTCTGGCTCAGTCTTCTAGGTGGTGCCACTCAGAGTCTGGTCTATAGGCTAGTGTGGGCAAACTGTTATCAGTCTATGATAAACATAAAAATTGAGTGTAAACATTTAGAAACTTTTGGAATAATTCTTTTATTATTTTCTCTGATGGCATTTTTTGAAATTTAATATTTGTTGCATCTAATAAAAAATAAGGTTTACTGTTTTATGCTTTTGTTCCTTCCATTACATTTTTTAGTAAGTGCTTATTATAAAATATCAACATACTGGAAATTAAAACAAACTAATCCTTCAACAGAATTTGAGAAACACTTCAAGATCTGGATACTTGTTCCAGAGATCTAGATTCTATAGTAGGTGGCCTTTCTGGATTGTAACTTGGCTTGTTATTAGCTCAACAAATCAATGATAAAGTCACTCAAATCTTTTGGATTGAGAACTTGCTTTTGTTTTCAATTGCCCAAAGATAATGCTATTTAGACTGAGCCAATTTTTATTTTTTTTCAACAAAAAATCTACAGGTTTTAGAGTCACACTTGTGGACCTGTGTTCACATACAAGCCAGATGACTGTAGGATGTCAGATAACCTTTCTGAGCCTCAGTTCCTTCATCTGTAAAGTAAAGACATCACCTCTATCTCAAGAAATTTTGGTGGGATTAAGTAAAAAGAAGTTTGTAAAGAGTCTGAGTGCCATCTAATAACTTTCTGCTGTGATGTAATTTTGCATATCTGCAGTGTCAAATATGGTAGCCACTGGCTGCAAGTGGCTCTTCAGCAGTAACAATGAGTGAGTTATTAAAATATAATTAATGAATCGAATTTTTATTTAAATTTAAATAGTCATTATATTGGATAGGTCAGGTCTGGCATATTCATCAGCATATAGTAGGTTCAATGTTTACAATTTTATTAAAATATTAAATAAGTCAGGTAATGCTTTAAACACTGGGCACATATTGGTGAATGAGAGGAACACAGTCCCCGTATTCATGAAACTTAAGGACTAGCTGAAAGCAGAACTTGACATTACTTTTGCAACAGAAATTGTTAGCTTCTTCTCTGGAACTCAACAGATCACCTGGGGCCCTTAATGGTTATCTTAGGAGGAAATGGTAAATAGGATATTTTATGAACCAACAATCCACTTTAGTGTGCAGAGTTGGTGGTGAGGCATGGATAGCTAAATCTGTTTAAGAGCCAAGGAGCCTTCTAGAAAGAAAGAAACTGAGACTACTACCTATCAACTTTAGTCTTCAAAGGATTAATAAGTTTAGGACAACAATGGCCCTAAGAGGAACTCAAGAGAAGGAAGTGAGGACAAGTGTCTCATGTTCAACACGACAAGTGTGGAAGAGGCTGGCTGTGCACAGCTATGGTTAAGGTAGGAAGCCTCCCCTGCCTCTCTAGCCCATGAGGGTCTTGCTTTGGGACCAATGGTAAAGCATATGAGGGTGAGCCATAGAAATTGTAATCTGGTATCATCATGTCTGCATGGGAATCTAGACCTGCAAGGGTACCTTTTTGCAGTGGAAGGAGACATCAGAAGAGAACAAAAATTCTGTACAGCAAGAGTAGAGTCAGAAACAGCACAAAATTAGGGTTCTCTGGTGGACTGACCTAGCTCTCCAGTAGGCTTTCTGCCTCTTTGGAAAGAGCACTGGCCCTGTAAACTGAGAAGGCTTCCTGATAGTTTGTGGGAGGTGGAGAAATGCATACTGTATGTGTGGGGTGAGACATTGATCTTCTTGCTAAGAAGAGCAAGTGGGTGCTTGAGGGATTAATTAGAAAACTAAAAAGAATGCAATGCATTTGTAGCCAAAGCTATTAAAAGCAGGTTCTAGACATTTACTTCTGTGCTGAGTGTATTGAAAGAAGAAGTCAGTGCTGTGGAAGCATACAACAAGAGGATTTAATAGGTGTGGCAAGGGGGTAGAATTGGGAGACTGATGAAATGACAGCTGAAATTTAAAGGATGATTATAACTGAGCTGACAAGAAGAAGGCATTTTAAGAACAGAGGACATCATAAAAGAAAGTTCAGAATTGACAGTGGGGTGCCTCTGGGGACTAGAAAATCCTCTATGGTGAGAGCTTGGGTAAGAAGGGTGGGTGATAGTGCTATAGTCAAAGCTGGAGATATGAGTTAGATGCCCAGGGCTCATTGGGACTTCATCCAGTGAGCAAAGAGAAGTCATTGAAGAGGTTGAGCAAAGGAGAATGGTAGACTTTTATTAAAGCCTATTCTAGCCTATTCTCATCTAGAAAGGAAGAACAGATCATTAAGGAGGTGTCAGAATTAGATGCATGGAGATCAGTTAGGAGAATTCTGCTGTGGTCCAGGTTGAACACATATGTGGCAGTGAGGTTGTGTTAAAAAGCTATAAACGTTCCTTCTTTTGCTGCTTCCCATTTACACGTAGAGAGACCATCTCAAGCTAGTCGTGGTGGAGTGCACTTTTAATCACAATGATTTGGGAGGCTGAGGAAGGAAGATTGCCAGTTGCAGGTCAGCCTGGGCAACTTAGCAAGCCCCTGTCTTAAATAAATAAATAAATATTTAAAAAGTAAAAGTAAGTAAGTAAATAAATAACTGACTGGGAATTGCGGAACAAATTTAACAAAATTACACTATGGATATATATGTCACCGTGAATTACAACTTTATGTTTATAAAGCACCAAGTTGAAAATAAATAAATTAAAAATAAAAGGAAGACCAATAGAGTAGAGGAAAGGGAATAAGAGAGAGGGGAAGAGGAGGGAAAGAGAAAACATTGGGAACTAAAATGGGGCAAATTAAATTCCATGCATATGATTATGTCAAAGGGAACCCAGTTATTATTTATAACTATAATGTACTAATAAAAGCATTTAAAAAAAAGGGTGAGGGATGTAGCTCAGTGATAGAGCATCCTTGGGTGCAATCTCCAATACCAAAAGAAAAATAAATAAATAAAAGAAAGACCATCTCAAAGTTGAGTGATTTGTTTAAGGTTGTAGGGCCAATAAATGGCAGTGCCAGATCCGCCTAGCTTTCTGACTCTGGTTAGAAAATCTGTCCACAGAACCTACAGTTCTTTGCTCTAATCCATGGCACTCAAGGTTGTGTGCATGGCAGACACATTTCTTCATGTATCCATGTATCTTCCACACAAGAAAGCAGATCTGAATGCAAATGAGCTAGATAGGAAGGGGTGTTATTAGATGGACAACCATGATTTCCCTCTGGTTCATTAAAAAGGAATGTTAACAAATTTAGTCACTTAACTCTTACTAGTAACAAAGCTTTCTCAATCACAGTTGAGTCTTATATTCCGGTAACTCTGAGCTACTGACATCCTCAGTAATTTTCAAGACAGAGGTAATAACATGCTCTGTCTTTGAGTGTGACTCTATTCCATTCCGCCAAAGATAGCCTGAATAGAAGTGACTAAAGGGTCCTCAGGTCTCAGGCCTGGAACCTTGTTTACAAGAGTTATGTATGTGGGAGCCAAAAGAAGAAAGGCAGAAGGTAAGACTTTAGTGAGTCGCATCTGCCACAGCCCTCTGAGAGCATAGATTTGTAAAATGATTTTATTTAAAAGTCAAACATATATTGAACAAACACTGTAATTCTTCCTCTTTTGCCATGAAGCACCCTTCCCTTCCACTTTTGTTGTCTGCCTTCACCCTCTCTCTTTCCCTCTCCTCCTTCCTCCCTTAGTCCTTCTTTCTCTCCCCTCTCTTTTCTTTCTTCTCCCTCACTTTTTTTCTTTCTTCATTCTCTTGAATTCTATAGGTAGAGGGTTTTTATGGTCACATCCAAGCTAATATGGAATGGATTAACAGAGCATGATAGATGATAATATAGATGATGGTTTTTATATTCTTCATGGCAGATGAGAATACAGAAGTAAATGTAGAATAACAGTCACTAAAAACCTGCTCAACCACCTGCACTAGTGCTGCCCCAAATTCCTATCGAATCATTCTCGTATGTCACTTCTTTTTCTATAGACAAGGCCAGTGTAGATCTTGGGAGAAGTTCACTAGGTGCTGACGAAGGGATAGCCAGACAGGCCTGTGTACATCCTGGGATTTTTGCAGCCAGGACAAGGACACCAAGGAAACCAAGGTCAGACTCACTAAGGACAGAAGCAGGAGTAACAAATGCTCTGTTCAGGGCTTAAAGACTACAAGCATGCCCTGTGCCAGCCAGTACAGCAGAATGGGAGTGGGCTGGTGAGAACACACTGGGTTAAGGAGGCATGCCAGGGGGAACTGCTGAGGCTCCCCAGCCTCAAATAGCCTCACAATTGGTTCTCTTTTCCTTTACTCAAACAGGGGATTCAGATTCCTGGGGGATAGGGGAAAGTTTTAACCTGGCTCAAGCCCAGGATGGGGAAAAGAGGTATAAAACTGAATGTATCTTCAGAAACACTCCTGGACACCTCTCACCTGTATCTGACCACATTGCTGTCTGCATTGCCAAAATGACATTACTCTTCATCAGTCTGATGAAAATTTTTAGCTCCAAGAATAAAGCCTAGCATGTTAGCTATGGGAACAAAACTTTCTCTTTAAAAAGCTCAGTGTATGGAATTTACCTCACTGACGACTAGAGCTATTTTTTTGTAGGAGAAAAAAATCATCAGGATGAACTCAAAGCCCTGTCTTGATTGGATTTCATGCAGACTTTCCAGCCCACTTGATTACTGTAAATAAAACTTACCTTTTCTAGAATACAGCTTTTGGCAGAGTAGTTTTCTCATGGCTATCATTGTGACTATAAAAATTAAAATAATGATGCAGGAAGGGATGAGAATGAACAGCAGAGAAGTAGTAGGGATGCTGGGTTTCATCTGACCTGGGTAAAGGAAAGAACCAGAATCTTATTACATGGCAGTTCAGAAATAGACACCAAGTTGGCCATATGAGTGGGTTTTAACCAACACGGCCACTGTGTTGAGCCTTTACTCAGTTACTGTAAATGCTCTGTACATCTCAGCTCATGTATCTTCATGAAAACACTATAAGGCAGGCTTAACTGTAATTTTACTAGTGATGAAAGGCTGAGAATTTTCCCAAAGGTAGACACCAAATGACTTAGCGGACATACAACCTGGGCTGTCTGCTTCCAGACTCCGTGCTTTCTGCCACTCTGATATACCTATTATCTATCTATCAATCAACCAACCACCAACTTCCTTTTTATTTTTTTCTCCCTCTCTTCCTTCTCTTTCCTCCTTTCCTTTCTCATCATCACCCTTCCTCCCTCTTTCTGGTGGGAAAGTCCCTCAGTCCAAAAATATCTCTACCCCCCTACCCCCCTTACACACACACTGACAAGCATTCAAGTGCTTAGAATCTCTATCATTGCTCAATTTCAAGGATTATCAAGATCCTTTTGAAAGAGTAGAACATCCCAGGCTGTGGTAATTTAGTAAATTTGGTGATTCCTGCCTTAGTACAATGACTAGGAATGACCCTTGGCTAATCAAGATCATGGAACCGAGGAAGACATCAACTTAGTAAAGGAGGGAGATGAGAAGAGCAGTGTTGGAGGCCGTGGAAAGCCTTGTGAGGGAGAGCTCTGGGTAGCTACAGGTTAGAACAGGGGTCTCAGATGGATAAAGGACAGGACTGTAGGGATATTCACAGTAGGGAGATGAAAGGCTACCAAGTTAGGTTGAGTCATTTTCAAAAGTCTGAGTTTTGTCTCATGGAGCAATTTACACAGAATAAACATAACAGTTTCATCCAGGAAAAACTGGACAAAACTGTTCAGGAGAAAGGGCTCAGTCCTGCCACCTGCCTCCCTCCTACCTCTTCCTTCCCTGTCCTGACAAAGTATCATCTAAAAACTATAGATTGTTTTAGCTGAGAAGGGATTAGACATTATTTAGTCCTAAGACTGTCATTTTAGTTGAAGGAGCCTCAGAGATACCTAATAACCCATCTGCAGTCTTCACTTCCAAGTCGGTAACAGAGCCAGGGTTGCATACCAAGCCATGTCTGACCCAGAGCTCAGGCCCCTCAGATACCATCCCCATCCAACATATGACAGTGAGAGTTAAGAAAGAAAAGGATAAAGAACTTGTTTGGATAAGCGATGTTGGATAATGCATATTGACTATAATCTTCTTCACGTCTAGGAAATGCTTATGAGGCACTTGTTGCATTTAACATTGCGAGTAAGAAGACTGGGCTCCTCATTGTCCCCACAATGGAAGAGGTCCCTGCTCATCGCCTGGACAGGTTCCCTCAGAATCCCTTGCACATGCAGAAACTTTACTCATTTCTAAAGACTTTGCAAAATTGAACATGCTAGGACATTATCTACTTGGACTCTAAGTATTTGGAGGATAAAGGCCTTATCTAAGTCACCTCTGAATTTTCTGCACTGTAGCACCAACCATGTATATTTACATGTCAATAAAAATTGTCAGGCCAAATTGATGGGCTGTGTGTCTAGTCCACCTAGTTGATTTTCCTAGCTATTAGTTACCTTGTGGTAGACTGAGGGTTATCCCTTTAGACCATCCTATCTTTCTTCCTTAGTATTAGTGCATTATCTGAACACATAGCTTCTCAGAGACAGCATTTCCAGTACCCACTGAAGTAAGATAAGTTCAAACAGAGAAGTGGTCTTCTGGATCTCAGCCTTAAAATATTGGATATATCTCCATTCTTTTTCCTTTTTGAGGATAGAAACACAGATTTGGTAGTGACTCTGCTTTGACAATTCAACATTCTTGAGAATAGAAGAGCAACAGGGTGGAAATAACCCAGATCTTTGAATGGATTTATGGAATAAAGTTGATTAGCTGCTCTGAACTACCTTCTATCTCAGAATATTGCATGGGGAGAAATATATTTCTGCCTTGTTTGAGTTTCTGTATTTTTGGTTCTCTTCATTATAGCAGCTTAGGCTGTGTCCTAAGATATATCTTTCTAGATTGTTTTATAATAATTGAAAATTCTTTAGCAATGATATAATGGTGCAGTGGCAAAAATGTTTGTCTTGTTTTACCCCAGTCCCATGCATTCATAAGGAAGTCAATAATCTTGCTAGGGGTGCCATGTTTTTTTACTGCTTCCTCCCTTTCTGAGTGCTAAGCCCTTTCCAAGATACTTCCTTAAATCATCATGATAACCTTTTGAGGTATCCACCATTATTTACCCTCATTCTACACCTGAGAAACTAATTTCTAAGTAGTATGTTCAAGTTTTCAACATTTGAAATTCTGTCTTGACTTTAGAGACCATGTTCTTGACCACTGCCTGGAGTCACCTCTAGGTGTCCTAGGAGGCCTTCACTTTTCTGTCTGTCCCACAAAGGTCTTTTAATAGTCATTTCCTGTGCTGAAGTCCTGTTACATTTCCAAGGAATATGCAATAACTGGCTGCACAAGAAATCCTATGAATTCATTCCTCCCTAACTTCTGATTTAAAGTTAGGATGTTTAGTCATTTGTGCTAGAGTTTCAAGCACACCTCACACGCTCTCATTTCTGCATTTGTCTTATTCATTGACTTCTGGAGAAGCTTGTGGTGGTTCACAGCAACCATCAGTGAGCAGCTCGATTTATAAGAATAAGTAGAAAGAGATCAGTCATAAGACAACTTGAAAATAGCTTTGAGAAAAAGAAGCAAGGCACCTGTTGGAGGATTGTGAATTTTGTGTTTTGTTGCTGGTATTTGTGCCACAATTTGGGACATCATTTGGCTGCCTTGATCTGACTTCCTATATAGTCTGGTAGTTGAGATGATGGGACAAAAACTAAGTCTCGAACTCATCAACCCAACATTGATTGAACAATTGTTATTAAAGGCAATGCACTCTGCTTTTCATTTAGTCTAGCTATGGGACGAGGTATTTTCTAATTCTTGTCCACATCCATTCTCTTCATTTCAATACTCTGCTCTGAGACTTGGTATGGCTGACCTTTATGGAAGCCATCAGTAGACTCCATTGTTCTCAATAGGGAACAATGGGTTCGGTCAATGGGAGGCACTGGCAGGAAATTGGAGGTGGGAGGAGAACAAGGTTGGAGTGACATTCTTCCAGCTTCTGCCCTTTGTAGTCGCTGCAGCTAGCAGTCTCCCTCTTCCGAAGGTTACATCTCCTAAGTGATGCTGTTCCTACAGCTATCTCCTCCTGGTTCCAGTAGCTTCTCCAACAGTTGTAACAGTTCCCTCAATATTGATGCCCTATGTCCTTTGTAGTTTTCCTAAATTCTGATCACACCTCCATAAACAGTCTTTTTATTATACCCTCCTCTAATGACTTACTTTGAGTATGCCACCTTGTTCTTGCTTGAACTCTGACTGATAGAGCTAGGAGGTGGGGCCAGGGCAGCTCTTACCTTGAGGGTCAATGATGGCTGAAGTAAGTTCTTTCATCTTAGCATTCCAGAATATGCAGCTGAAGTTTCTGCCAGGCTGTGGCTTTAGGTGCAGAACACTAGTGACTTGGTAGAAGCCTTCAGGGGTCCTGGTATAGCTGGTGTTGGCAGGAACACTGACATTTGACCAGGACACTTCTGCTAGGGGATAACCTCTGGCCTGGCATGTGAGTTCCACCTCATCTGTCCCTGTGACCTTGAGGATGCCAGTATCTATTTTCTTGTAGGAAGCTGAACAATAATGAAAAAGAAATGTCTTTCATTTCTTATTTCTGTAGAGGTGTGTACCCAATACCATGTGAAATGAATAAAATTAATTCTATTAATATTAACTAATAATATTTTCACTTTTATTCTTGGTACACTCACACACTATTGGTGGGACTGCAAATTGGTACAACCGCACTGGAAAGCAGTTTTTTTTTTTCCCCTAAAAAACTAGGAATGGAACTATCATTTGACCTAGTTGTCCCACACCTCGGTATATATCCAAAGGACTTAAAATCAGCATATTACAGTGTACAGCCATATCAGTATTTATAGCAGCTCAATTCACAATAGCTAAGTTATGGAGCCAATGTAGGTGCCCTTCAGCAGATGAATGGATAAAAAAAATGTGGCATATATACACAATGGAGTATTACTCATCCATTAAGAGAAATGACTTTATCACATTTTCTAGTAGATGGATGAAACTAGAGACTGTCATGCTAAGTGAAATAAGTCAGTCCCCAAAAATCCAAAGGTTATGTTTTCTCTGATATGTGGCAGCTAACCCACAATAAAAGGAGTCGGGTAGAGAATAGAAATTCAGTAGATTTTACAAAGGGGAATGAAGAGAAGGGAGAAGAGATGGGAATAGGAAAGACAGTATAATGAATTGGACATAGCTTTCCCATGTACATATCTGAATAAACCACATTGAATCTCACCATCATGTACATCCACAGAAATTAATTAAAAAATAAACTATGAGTAAATTGCCAAAAGAACAATAGAGAGAAGAGAGTGGGGGGTGGGAAAAGGGAAGGAGAAGGAGAGGTACTGGGGTCCTAAATAGAATAAGATGTATTCCATGCTTGCATAATTATATAAAAATGGATTCTACTGTCATATATAGCTAAAAAGAATGAATAAAATAAAAAAATAAAGTTTAAATAATAGAAATAAATAAAATAAAACCCTTTCTCTGTCTTGGATATCATATTGGTTTACATACATCGAATTATTTAATCCTTACTATACAATAATAAGTTAAACTATATGCTGACCCTTGGAGGAAAATTAAATTCATATTCTTAGTTTGTAATCAGAGAAACATCAGGGAGACTTGAGTATATGCTTCCTGACTTCTGCATTAGAAACACCATTGCAGGATGATTCTTCATGTAGTTACAGAAGCCTAGGGTGGAGCAATATGAACAGGAAAAAGAATATGTTTTCCTGAGAGATCTAGTAGGACCCAGGACTAGCAGCTGAAGAAATTAGGTTCTGAAACAAAGGACTTGACCTGTTTCATCAGTCTCCTTAGAGCCAAATTTTGGCTGATCTCTAGCAATCACACAGTATCTGAAGCATGTGTTCACTTTATCTCTTATGTTATTTATCTACATTTATTTTCCCTTGATTCTCTTATAATCATTTAATCCTATTCTATTGTATTTCTATAAACTCTTTGGTCTTTTGCAGAACAAAGTCAAGAAAATGGATAACTTAGAGCAGTGTGTTGTGTGTGAGGGTCCTGCTAACTTCTGTAGGGTGGCTCGGGACAAGCAGCTCATCTTAGCAGCTGAGGTGAGATCACCATTGAGTGGTGATTTCAGAAGTAGAAGGGCCAGGAATTAGGAGCTTGTCTGAAGCTTTAATTGAGATATATAAATGATGGGGCAGATGGAAAAAAGGTTCAGCTAAAAGAATCAGCAAGGTTTGGAGAAAGGACAGAAGTCCACATCCTACATTACAACATCCAAGATGGCTCTACAGTCTCTATTTTATTTGGGAAGTGGCTGAAGAGGTATTATATCAGCAATACATGATGGGGAAGCTGGATGGTGGTTGATATTCTTCAGAAAAGATGAGTAAATTTTAGAATTTCAAAGATGGAAGTGGTCTTAAAATTCTAATTTCCTAATTCCTAATATCTTCTTCAGTAACTCTGCTAGATAACTATCTAGATGAATGTTCTATGTGCACTTGAAAATAATGTATATTCTGCAGTTGTTGGGTGTAAATTTTATAATATCAATTAGTTCAAGTTTGCTAATTGTATTGTTTAAATCTTCTACTATGTTTTCTTTTCTTTCTTTTGTTTATTTTTTTGTGTGTGGTACTAGGAATTAAAATCAGAGGTGTTGTTCCACTGAGCTACATCATTAGCCTTTTAACATTTTTATTTTTATTTTGAGATAGGATTTTAATAAATTGCCAAGCTTGGCCTAAACTTGGGGATCCTCCTGCTTCAGGCTTTGGGGTAGCTGGAATTACAGACATGTGGCTACCATTTCCCAACTTCTTCTACTATATTTTCTGGTTTGTTTGTTCTCTCAATTATAATAGAGTTGAGTTGAAAGCTCAAATATGATTGTAGATTCGTCTCTTTCTCCTTTCAATCTGCCAATTTTTGTTTGAAATTTTGATAGTAAGTTGGTGGATGAAAACACATTTAAGATTGTGTCTCTTTGTAGGATGGATTCTCTTTTTTTCCATATTTACTTCATTTATTTTCATAATTGTCATTTACATAGATATACCAGTTTGTTAAGTTGATCCTTGTTCCCAGTTAATACATAATTCTAGAACAAACGTACTTGAACATAAGTCTTTTTGCAAACATGTAGTTTTGCAGTTTATTTTCAAAAAAGGAAAGAGTATGCCTTAAATATTTTTACCAAGACTTTGAGTGATTTACCTCAACACTCTTGCCAATGGCACTAAAATTTTAGTCACTTTACTGTTGAAAAATAGAATTGCATTATTGTAGGACCGATTCTTTTATCATTATGAAATACTTTTTATACCTATTTTTCTAATCCTAGTAATGAGATGGATAGTTAACTTTTGGTTAAATACAACCTCAAATGGAAGCTCCTCCTTTATCTAGAAACAGTCTTGCCTGGATTAGGCAGTCTTGATCAGGACTAATAAGCAAGTTAAACTTTTATTGGGAAGATCATCCTTACACAAAGTCTCTTTGTAGCTTCAACCCATTGGTAATTGTTTTAGTATCACAACATAAGGTAAGCACAGTAATTGATAACATGGACTTCAGAATCTGAGGGATTTTCTTCTTCTTCTTTTTTTTGGTACCAGGGATTGAACCCAGAGATGCTTAACCACTGAGCCATATCCTCAGCCAGTTTTATTTTTTTCTCTTTAAGTTGCTTAGGGCCTCAATAAGTTGCTGAGGCTAGTTTTGAACTTTTGATCCTTGTCTCACTGTCTATCACATTGACGCAAATGAGAAGAAAAAATGTAGTTTTGCATGTCTTGGTCTTGAGGATCCAGGCAAATTTCTAGCAATCACTGAAATAAATCTTTTAGAATTGTTCCCATTCGCTTGTTAAATAGCCCGAGAGAAGAATTTGATTAGAGTTTGCAATTCCCAGGAGCTTTTCTCCCTTTGAAATTCAGGACATTATTTTCTTAACTCCAAATTTCCTTATCATCTTGTTTCCTCAAGGGAAAATAGACATTGAGAACAGAGAGATAGCTCTATGGTAAGTCATGTTAGCAAATGCTTTCCCTGGCCTTAGAGACTTAACAGTTGACCTTTTCACTTCTGCCTTGCTTTTCTTCCACTGCTAGTCCTGAGCCCTTGGTCTTCTTGTTCTTTAAATGGAAATCATGCTGTCTTTTCCTGTACCTGTTGAAGTTACCCTCTTGTCCATCTTGGGCTTTCTTTCTTTCTTTTTTTTTGGCTTAAAGTACTTCCTAAAACACGAGCAGATTCCTGGTATTAGCTCTTTCCTGTACCCATCTCCACCTTACTCTGTTCCTGTGTGGGGTCCTTGGCATCATATCCCTCCTGGTCTGTTTGGCCTAGTGTACTGTTTGCTTCAGCCAGGCCCCCTGCCATAGACTGCTCCCAGTCAGACGGTCACCACCCGGGTTTTCAGAAACCACAGCCCTTTATTATTACCTCTTCTGGATGCTCTAGCCATTACACCTCACATTTCTCCTATCCCTTTGAAATCAACTCTCTCTTCACTATATTTAATGTGAATTGCTGTATGGACATTAAAGAAGGTAATATAAACCTATTTTCAAGGTTTATGCCATGAATTTTAAGGCAAAAGTCTGTTCTCCTTCAGTCCTATTTCATTTATGGGAACCCTCACTGTGGCACCAGATCTATCCTGCTTCCTTTAGAAGTCTCTGATCAGGAGAAGATACTCTTAGGTGCTGGTCCTAAATATTTATTTATTTATTTTGCTTGCATTACTCCTAAAAGAACTAAGAAACACTATGGTCCCTCATTAATTCTTAGAATTTTTTTTATAAGTTTCTATGTTGGAAAATTAGAATTTTAATAAATAATTTATATTGTATTTTTTTTAGTAAAACAACTATATTATTCTTATATATGCACCTAATGGCATCTAAATATTTAAAAAGCTGTCTTTTTTTACACACCATCATCCACTAAAAAATACAGAGAGAAATTGTTTTCTAACGGTCAGAGCTTTATATTGTATCTTTTCTTGAATCTCACTTCTTATTTTAATTTCCCCATAGAAGTTATTTTTTTTCCAGTGCTGTGATGGAACTCAGGGCCTGAAACGTGCTAGGCAAGCACTCTACACTGAGTCACACCCCTAGCTCCAGAAGTTTATCTTGCTGAGACAAATGTTTATATTTGACAGTTTTTTGATTTATTATCCTTATGCACCTTGTAATAAAGTATGTATAGCTACTGAAGTTAATATTTTTCTTATAACCATGAGGCATTAAGTACTCAAAGTTTTCTTCTGCACTGAAATCTAATTTCCATTATCAGCATATATATGATTACAATGTAAAATGCTATGAATATTGGTAATTATTCAACATGAAAAATACAAATTTCCTGGAAAAGTTTTGCTTATTTTTCAAATTATTCCTGAATCTGAGGATACATATGTCTTAGGGTTGGACTGCTTCAACGTGGTAGTATACAGCATCCATTCTCTTTCAAATTTTCATTTTCTGTAGCTAGAAGGGCTGTGGGATCTTGTTCATATGAGTAAGTTGATGGAAACTTGGAACAGTTTTGTTCTACTTAGGTATGTCATTCTTTGAATGACAGGATTTATATGGCAAAATTACTCAATTTTGATTATATGATCATCATTCTATTTGTGCTTTCATCCATTTTGTTGAAAGCAGAAAATTTGACACCATCTGCTTTGCAAAATGGCCAGTTAGTCATGATGGTTCCATAAGGTGTGGGTATTTCTGTTTACTCTTTTTGGTACTATGAAGGTTTAAACCTTGGGGCAATGGACTACATTTATGGTGAGGTAGAAGTGAACTTTTTAGGAAGTGGAAGAAAGCAATAAAAAAGGAAGTGTTTTATGGGAACCCCAACAGCCTTGTCTGGAACACATATTCTGAGGTTCATCAATTTTGGGAAAGAGTACTTGGGGAAGATGAGAATCTAGAAACTTACTTCCTAAAACTGATTGTGCTCATTCATTGCTTAGAAAGTTGTCATGTTCCTCATGTACTCCAATGTGCATTCCCTTAAGGAATAAATCTCTCCACACTGGAAAAATCCCTGATCTAGCTGAGGTAGTAGGCGAAATGCCTCCCCAGGAATGAGAGGCAGCCCTCTGTCTGAAAGAATAGTGTAGCCATCCCCCAACTTCTCAAAGACCCTAGACATACCATAAATAGGGATCAATAAACATGGGGGTGGTGTCAGGGGTGCAGATACTCTAGGACTTTAGGGGATCCTGAGACTGCACGGCTTTCTTTCCTCATATGAATTGAATTCAGACTAACATAGTGTTCTCAAGTTCCTCCATGCTGATGCCAAGAGGTAGGAAAAGCAATAAAGAGAAAGCGGGTATGTGGCTTTCCTCTGGACACACCGATGGTTGAAGGATGGGGTAGTCAAAAAATATTTGGGTTTTTAAAATAAATCTCTGGATACTTTCTCTATGCCAGCCACCATGTCCAGTTCTTTATGTTTATTATCTTTGATGTTTACAACAATCCTATGTGGTAGGAGCTACTATTATCCTCTCACTGATAAGAAAAACAGAAGGTTATGAAAGGTGCCACAGGTGAAGTCAACGTTCATCCTTGTGCCTAATCCTTCTCTTATGTCCTTTTTTGTTCTGGATCATAGTCACACCATTGCTGCCCAGGTCAATAGTATTTGGGGGCCAAAACCCACAGAACATCCAGAAGGCAGATCCTCAGAGGCCTAATGAGTGGGGTGGGGAGGGCTAGAGAGCCGCCGGCAGTTTAGCTCAGAAGTCTATCAACAAGCCAATCAACAAGCTGATTCCAATCTTTCATAGTTGTTAAGAGTCTTGCTCAATATGACCTTTCCTAGAATAAACAAGAACACGAAGAGTCTCTTCAGATTTAGGTTCCCGGCTCTTTTGGGGTAGAAAGAGATCCAAACCAGAGAAATGGGGACAACTATGGGCTTAGCCAGGCTCTCTTGGGCCACCCACTTTACTTCTCTGGACTTTGGTTGCCTCATCTGTGATAGATAGGAGTTGGGCTTAAACAATGTTTTCCAAACTTTTTATAACCCAAAGTGAGAAAGAGAGGGAAAGAGACATACACACACACACACACACACACACACACACACACACACCCCTGAAACAAGAGTTTGATTGTTTTTGTTTTCATACTGCTGGGGATTGAACCCAGGGGAATTCTACAACTAAACTACATCTGTACTCTATTATTATTATTATTATTATTATTATTATTATTATTATTAAGACAGGGGCTTGCTAAGGTGCTCAGCCAGGAACAAGAGTTTTTAAAACAACACTTAGCCCTACTCTGTAATACTCTCTGACCTATTTATTTATTTATTTATTTTTGGGGTGAGGGGAGAGGAAACACCCATCTGGTTGCTTCTCACTAACTTGATATTTTATCACAATTATAGTTGGAGAACTATGGTTTCTGGACTATAGGAATAACTACAAAGAGTAGCTGACTAACTAAGCTGGTCATGTTCCCTGAAAGAACTGAATTAGGCAAAGCTTATCTTTAGCACCTTCCCACCTTTTGGGATCTTGTTTTCCTGGCTTATTCTAGCCTCATTTTATTTCTACAAATCCTACTCCTGTTTATCCTTACTTAGCTGCTTTATGTGCAGGTGTCAGAAAACATTTCCAAGCAGGTGCTTCCCTCCACCCCCTCTGAAACAGCTGTCTCCTTAAAACCCTTAAAACAGGTTTCTGTTATTGGCAGCTAACACAGCTGGAGAGGTGACTCCATGAATTCTAGCCCTTGAAAGCACTCACCTTTGACTTCCACAGTCAGGTACTTGTAGTCCAAGGCGAGCCCGCAGATGATCAGGCAGAGGTACTGCCCTGCGTCTCTCACTTGCACTTGGGGGATGTGGAACAAAGCCTTCCCCAGGGGCAGCTGCTCCTCCAGCAGAGTGGCTCTCTCGCTGGGTGAGGATGTACCATTCTCCACCCTTTGAAAACTGGCTTTTATGGCTTCAGTTTCCGTACAATCTTTAGTGTCAAAATCACACTCGAGGGTCACATTGCTGCCGTGGTCTACTGTGTACAATTTCTTCGGGACTGTCACTGTGAATAAAGCTGAAAGGGAAAGACAGCTCACTGTTGCCTGCCTCTACTTGAAGGTTCAGTTCTTCCAGAAAGGGATCTGAGCCCCATTCCACCCTCATTTTCTGGGAGATACCTATTGGCATCCAGGCCTTCTTTTGGGCTCCTCTTTCTCTTTTGCCCAATCCGGCAGAGCAAGGGTGGAATTCTTGGTTCATTGCTCTGAGCTGGTGAACATTTCACCCATGTACCTTATTGCCCTCCTGCTCTTTCCTAGGCACCCCAACATGAGCTTCTGATGGACAGCAGTGGTTGCTTTCCATAGCATCTCCCACCTATTTCTCTAGTACCCTGTGGTCATTCCAGATCATCCCTCTTGGGAAAACAGAATCTCTCCTTCCAACTCCCTGGCCATCAAAGTCTGAGTCCATGTCCTTAACGGCCTTCACACCCTGTTATCTGGGCTCATTTTCTTCAATCTATACAGATCAATTCATGCCTTTCCCTGCTAAATATTACTTCCCTAGCCAGTGATAGTAATAAAAATTATCACTTGTAGAGTTCTTAAACATTTCTGCTGACACATTGTCTCATTTAGACTTCCCAGGAAGTGAGGTAGTCAATAGTGTTATCTTCTTTTTAGAAAATTAAATTGAGGCACATTAAAGTTAAGCAGCTTGCTCAAGATTGTACAGCAAAGATCAGACCAGGGATTTCTTTAAGTCACAAATGCTGTTGAACACCACATCATACAAACCCACTGTGGATGCTATTTTCTATTAATAAAGGGAAAGATGTTTAATGTGTATTTACTATGTGCCAAGCACTGTTAGGTACTTTATGACTGTATCATTTAACCCTGAAAATATGACCATGAAAAACATATTATCATTAAGGTTGGATAGTTAAGGAAACTGGCTCAAAGAAATTGGCTCCTGAAATATTGTTAGTAAGGTTAATATTCATAACCAGTCAGTGTTTGACTTCAAATCTGTAGTTTCTGCTTAGATAGTATCTCCCAAAATACAAAGCACATATCAATAGAAGTATATATAATTCTAGATGGTGTAGAATCAAAGCCTAAAGAAAGTTGAATTATTTAGAGAGAAATTTATCCCTTTTCAGAATGCACTTCAATCCCTCAAGTACACGTAATTTATAATCAGACTCTTATACCATCAATGCTTGTTCTTTTTCCTTTTGATAAAACAGGAAGCTTCCAGGCAAATAAGTGTTATCAGGGTGGAGTTTAACAACACTATTTTATTTTAATTGCATTTACTTTGTTTCTAGTCTACATTTTATTAGTATAAGCAAGACTGAATTTCCAAGTACAAAGGAGCATCCTGTCTAGCTAAAAAAAAGTTGAATTGATTTAAATAATTCTGTGAAACCATAGTATAAAGAGTAGCCAAATATGGCAAAACTAGTGAAGGCAGTGTTTGCAATCATAAAGCATGAGACACTGCCCCAAATTATTCTGCTTCCGTCATTAATGAATAGGGATCATTATGATGGAGTATGGAAAGATCTGGAAGTAGTTTCCAAATCATCACAGATTAGATCAAATTATGTTCAGTAGAGTTTGCTTCATTCATTCATGAATTTATTCAATCAAATTGAAATCAATCAGATCAAATCATTCTCTCAAAAAATATTGGGGGGCCTTCACCTAAGCATTTGCTTTTCAAGGGCCATTTCTGTATAAAACGTGGTATGGGAAGAGCACAGGACTTAGTGTGTTCAAATTCTGCCTTTTTCAGGATTAGGAGCCTTTGATCAGAACTCAACACTTAACTTTCATGAATCTCAGTCTCCTTTTTGTAAGATGAGATTAGTATTTACTTCTCAATATCATGGTGAAAACGGGACAAGATATATTACATGTGCAGGGCTCAGGTCTGGTAACTAGTAAGTACTTGGCAAACTTTCATACCATGTTTTAATTCTTGGGAAAGTAGCAATCTATATATGAAAACATGGCCATTCTTTATTAGTCAAAATTCTTTTTACTAATCAGGATAATTTATTCCTGACAAGAGTTCACAGCATAGTAACTTTTGGGTTTCCTGCTTGAATGATTCACAGTACAATTTTCTTTGGATTCAAGTTTTTCCTCCCATTGAACTGAAAGTCTTGGAAGGCAATAACCAAGTTGAGTTTGCTTTGATATCACTCAGTCCTTGACACATGCTTAGTTCCATATAAGGGTTTAGCAAATAAATGGCAGAAAGAGAGAAAGAGAAAGAAAGGATGAATACCAGAGATGATATGAATTGGCATTCTCAGTCACCACACAGCACAACTGATAGTTATCTGCACCAATGGGCTTTATAAAAAAATGACAGATATGTTTATATTTTGCCTACACTCCCTGTTATAACCACAACTTTGACTCTTTCTACAGAGATCTATGGTACAGAGAGGAGGTTCACATGTGACCACTGTTCTTTTGTGCAAGATGGGATCAGGGCCAAGGCTATCAGGTGAGTGTTTTCATATACAACAATGCTAATCACATCTGTGCTTGCTGACCCAGAAGAGAAGACCTTGGGATAATATTTATGAAAAGGGACATTGTGCTTCAGGATTTCCTATATGATTCCACTTTGTAGAATCCCCTGCATACTGTAACAACAAGGCTTCACATAATGGGACCATAGTCTCCTTAATGGGGTCCTGTTAAGGGTAGACCCCTTTATGATGGGTACCATCTCTACATCCTCAGTCCCTTGTAATTAAGACACTCTGCTTGAAAGAATCATATTTATCTATCAAAGATGTATTAACTATCTTCTGTTTGTCAGGTTCAGGAATTTTCTACTACTTTCGCTCTTCTCAGTACTTCCTTCTTTTATTTTACATTACATGATAAAGCAAGAAAAATCGAATGTGATGGGGGGTGTGCAGGGAAAGTTAGTTGCTGTGCCTTATTAACAAGAAGAATTAGAGATTTGGTTGTCGATTCTATTGACTGCATTTAGCAAATTTATTTACCACATAATGCTTTCTTTACCACACGATCAAGGGAACATCTGTAACTTCCTCTGGAATTCCCCTTAGAATACAGCAGAACTCCCCTCTTTACTGCCTGAGCTCTAGATAAATGTTTGTTTTCTTCTTGTTTTTCTTCTCTGCCTTGTACAGGGTTATGTGTTAAGGGTTGTAGACATAAAGTATGCTACCTTTCAGACAGGTGATATTTTTTGGCTAGTATTCACAAGAGAAAAGAGTAATGAATGAACATGAATCATGTCTATGAGTACCTTGGAACAACTGAGGTTAATTGGTATTTGGTATAACTTTGTCTCAAAGCTTCCAATATGCAAAGCTTTGGGCTTGATTGCCTCCTATAAAATGCGGGGATTAGGAAATGCAACACACTTGAAATCCTAAAATATTCTTATTTTTTATAAATTGCATAGGAAATCAAAACACTTTTGCAAGCAATTCTGTGAAGAGGCTTTTCTCAAGCTTGGCTGCACATCAGAATCACTAAACAGAGGCCTCAACCTCAGCTGACCCTGGAATCACTGAAAGGCTGTCTTGGTCTGTTCAGTGTTTCTTTAACAGAATACCTAAGGCCATGTCTTTTATAAAGAGGCTCCTGGTTCTGGTGACCTGAGGGTCCAAGCAGCTTGGCACCAGCCTTCTTGCAAGGGCCTCCTGGCCCTATCACAACGTGGAGGAGAAGCAGAAAGGGAACTGGCTGCATGCACAAGAGACTGAGCACTCATGCACAATGATCAGGGTGGCTTCATTTTATAATAGCCCATTTTCATGACACAGGCTTAGCACATTCATGAGGGTGGAGCCCCCAGGACCTAATTACCTTCTACTAGGTCCTACCTTTTAAAGATTCTACCACCTTAACATCGCCACATGGAGGACCAAATCTGCTGGATGTGAGCTTCTGCGAGTAAACTATATCCAAATCATAGCAGAGGCTTCTAAAAAACACTAATGCCCAGACTCTGCTTTGGCTCCTTTAAAATTAAATTATTTCAGAGGTGGGACCAGCATTAATTTTTTTTTAATTTTTTAGTATTTATTTTTCAGTTCTTGGCGGACACAACATCTTTGTTTGTATGTGGTGCTGAGGATCGAACCTGGGCCGCACGCATGCCAGGCGATCGCGCTACCGCTTGAGCCATATCCCCAGCCCCCAGCATTAATTTTTTAAGAACAATTTTCCTGGGAGTATAGAATGTGCAGACAATAGTGAGTTACATTAGACTAATAAAATACATGTACTTGCAAACTCTTTTTACCATCTTTCTAAAGTGTTGTCCTCAGCTTTACCTGGAAACTAGTTAGAAGTGAAGAATCTCAGGATTTCTCCAGATGTAGAGAATCAGGATCTTGCATTTGGTGATTTATATGCACAGTAATAGTTGAGTAGCAGCATTATAAAATCTGTCTGCATCTGGACTGTTACCACTAGGAATTGGTGTAATAATTAACACTTTTTTAAATACAATGAGCCAACTGCTAAGACAACCCTAATGTCATCATCTCATTTGATCCTGCCAACACTTCTGCAAAGTAGGAGTTACTATTCATATTTTAAAGATAAGGAAACTGAGGCTTAAAGCAGTGATACAACTTACTCATTGCCAAAGAATGATGGCCATGTAATTAGAATTCAAAATCATTTGTGTGTCCTCAATGTACATTATCACTATGTTCCTAATGACTCTATAGATATATTTCCACTGGCATGTGTATGTTATACCCATGAGTGAGATAAATATATTTTTTTAGCTTTACGTTAAAGAAAAGATATTGTTTTCACTTCATGTCCCACACATGAGTTACTAAATTAAGCTAGTTTAACTTCTGAAGTTAACAAATGAGAACATTGGGAAGTTTCCACAACTGCATATTAAGTGGGCAACACAGGTTTTCTCATTCATTTGGGGCTCTTAAATCAATGAAAGGGCAAAGGACTTAGTGAAAGCATGAAAAATTCATATATGCAAGTCTCTTAGCCAGATTAAAGCAGCTAACTTGAATAATGCTGTAGTCTTTTT